AACACTTTGAATGTTTCTCTTAGAGCACTGGATAGGCGGAGCAAGGTGACTGCTGCTCAAGCCCAGTAGGGTCCAAATGCTTCTTTATAAGAACTTGGGATTCATTTGTAATCATCTGACAGCAGGAGGAGCAGCTGCAGTACCTAGACTGGGAAAGCACTGGGTAAAAGATGTGTTTACCAGCATTTTTTTTCATTCACGTTGAGGCCCAACAATTAAAAAAAAATGAAAGAAAACCAGAGGAAAACAGTGTTCCTTTAAAGAAATACTCCAGGCATCACAATCACTACAATGCGAGTAGGACTTTACATTCGTAAGGCATGCAGTGCAAGCAGATTAGCTTTAAAGCATCACCTGATCACTCTCAGCCAATGAGCTAAGCACTGCACTGCTGTGCTTAGCTCAGAGAGGGTAACTTTAATGTGCACTCTAAACACCCCAATCACAAAAGCTAGCTGTAATGGCTATGGTACTTGAAACCATGCTCTGGTTTTCTGGCATTTTTAACATGTCCTAAACACTCTCTGCCTATCACTGCTATCCAGATTGGACCGAAATGCACTTAATAATGTGCAAGTAGCTGAAGAGAGCAATGGTTATGGGTGCTGGGGAAAGCCCCCCAGTTTGTGTAAAAGAGTTACTACAAAAAAAAATATAAAGCCCTTACAATAGTGCACATACCGGTCCAGGTAAATTTTACATTAGCCTTGACTAAATGGGAAGACATACGCACACATTATTATATAAGACTATTGCAAATCATTCCCATTCAAACATTTATTTTTGTTATTTTATACACATTACATAAACACAGTAAATACTCGTTTAATTGCCTGTTGCAAAGTAACTGTTGATCAGTTTAATAATGATGGCATAAATAAAGATAGTTTATCCGTCTAACCTCTTGCTAAATAGACAGAATTGTTTTCATATGAATAGGAGCAGATGATCCAAAATAATCAATTAAGCTAGCCTTTGGAACTCCAGCTGTCGTGGACTACAATTAATACTATAGTCTGGCGGTAGAGTGCCTATGATAGTATCTATAGACTGAATACTAATAAGACGGTGTTCACGTAGCCATTAATGCCAAAAACACAGCCAAAGAAAAAAACAAGAGAGAAATTCAACTGACCTGCCCTTCAGAGATCCAAAACAATATCCAAACACAAAGCTCAGACCTAAATCACACAAATAAAAAAAAGTAAAGGAGACTCCTAAAGCCAGGGTACATGCTGTCCCTATACCTAAAACACACTCCCTTCCTCTACTCATACATAAATACAGGCTCATGTGTATACAGTCATTTCAAACACACAGAGTACATGATACTCCATGCCCACATTATAATACAACAATAAAGAGTCCCATCTTCCATTGTAACACATTGGGGAATACACATGTAATACTTATCCTTGAACTATAAATACACAGACACCTCCCTTTACCCAAATGTACACAAGGCCATTCTGCACTGTGTGATTTAAATATCTTAATACTTTCTGTGCCAGATGGGTTCGCACACGACACCCAAAGGGATTATATGCTTTCAGTTACCTTTAAAAAGAGACTGTCGCCTACTGGGGTATTTACAGGACAGAGAATAGCTGTTCTTCAACTAACCCCTGTTAAACACCCAGTAGGTACACACCGTATATTTACACTTCAAAACAGTACAAGCTGACCCTACACGTTTCCTTTGTCGCAACTGTTATATACATGGCATGAGAGATAAGCAGTACTGTACATATAAAAGTATGCAGGCTAGTCCTGGTCCCCCCTTCTTAAATAGCCAATGAGAGACGCCACACACTATACCCAGAGTTCTGGACATTGGCTATCCAAATACACTCAATGTTATAAACGTGAAAAAAGTAAAGAATGGTGCTGTTCCACAACCTCTGCATATATAGGGATTTGCAATTTAAAAAGGGAGGTGTGGCTAGTGCAGTATGGACAAAAACAAGTAATTTCACTCCAAAATGGCAGAGAAGTAAGCAGTGAGACTGCATGAGCATGATCTATACACCCAAACTGCTTCATTAAAGTGTCTGTCACCTCAAACTTATCTTTCTTCTATTATTTTCTCTTTCAGAATCTGTTCTTCATTTCTGATTTAGTTCTCTTTGAAAACATTTGATATTAACACTATGGGACAGGGAATGGGGGGGGGGTGTAGAACACTATGGGACAGGGAATGGGGGATGTGAAACACTATGGGACAGGAATGGGGGTGAAGAACACTATGGGTCAGGGAATGGGGGTGAGAAGAACACTATGGGTCAGGGAATGGGTGAAGGGGAAATGGGGGTGTAGAACACTATGGGACAGGGAATGGGGGTGTAGAACACTATGGGACAGGGAATGGGGGGTGAAGAACACTATGGGACAGGGAATGGGGGTGAGAACACTATGGGACAGGAAACACTATGGGACAGGGAATGGGGGTGGGAAGATGGGACAGAATAGAACACTATGGGACAGGGAATGGGGGTGTAGAACACTATGGGACAGGGAATGGGGGGTGAAGAACACTATGGGACAGGGAATAGGGGGTGAAGAACACTATGGGACAGGGAATTAGGGGGCAAAGAACACTTAACAAAAAAAAATAAAAAAAATAAAATACGGTAAATGTACAGAATATCGGTAAACTATCAGCCTGAAAGTTCACAGATTATCGGCTCTAAAAAATCAATATTGGTCAAACCCTACAGAAGAGAGAATTTTGTATTCTGTCTTTATATATATTTATTTTTTCCCCCCCACAAATAAATTGTCATAAACCATGAGCCCGCCCCTCACAATGTGCGCACCACCCACAGCCTCTAATAATGCCGGGAGCTATATTTCCCAAGCGGAAAAATGCCGCGAATCACGTGACCACTTCCAGCGTAAAAACTACAGCCCCCATAATGCCCCTTCTATTCCCTGCCGCAAGCAACATCGCTCGCTTTTTCTACATACACACTGTCACCTATGATCACACAAGTCACGTGACTCGCTTATCTAAAACCTCACCGCGAAAAATGCTGCTTGCCAATGCCTACAGAACTACATTTCCCAGCATGCTATGCACATCTGTATATCGCGCAAGTCACATGACTCGCTTATTTAACACATTCCAAAGCTCCTACACCTTGTTTTTAAGTGTTTTTAGCTACAACAGACCCAGTATAGTGTCATTTACAATATAAACCTTTTTATTTTCATTTATACAATGTGATTTATGACTCTTTTCCTATTGGCTACTGACAAGTTACTTTTTTGGCGCCAGTTTTTAATTATGTACCTATATTTACTACTAGTCAGGTTGTTAATCTTATCCCATTTGAAAAAGCCCCAGTGGCTTATTATTTGTGTATTTTATCTAATTAAAAGGTTTTTGGTTACTATTTTGTGCCAACTATCTTTTTATACATATTCTTTGCTTTTTACCAATTCTATCGTGTGTTTACAAGTTTATCCGAGGTGGGGATCATACCACCAACGCTTTTATCATATACTTGTAAATACACTTTCACTTTTACGTAAATTTTATACCCTGTATTCACTGAGAGCACTATCAGTTGTTTTTATATATCCATTTCCTGAGAGCTGGACATCATTCCCTCCAGAAGACAATCACAATATATACTGTAAGCGGGGATCATACCGCTGTACGCCTGTCAAACCCAAGCTGGCTATAGCTCTTTTAAATGTGAGTTGAATATATATATCTTTTTCCTCACACATATTGATCCATACATTCTATACAATTGGTCTTCTTCATTTTGTGTCTTCCATAGTACGGGAACAATCGGACTACTATAAACAGTGAAGACACCCCATCACCAAAAGCATCTTAAAAGACATTTATCGCCATAGTGCAACTCTGAACCGTTTGGACTATTTATATGTAATAGCAACATTTCAATTACAAACTACTTGATTGCACTTTATATATATGTTTTATCTATATGCTTTTTAAAATCTCTAGTCCACACTAATACTATCTTAATATACTTTGGCGCAGCCTTGCACTACTGTTTTTTGTATTTTGTCTTATGTTTTAAGGAGATAAATAAATTCCCCAGGCACTCAAAGTGTTAAAGCCACAGGTGGTTTTAATGAAACAAAAAAGAACAGCAACGTTTCGACCTCCTAAGAAGTCTTTGTCAAGCTTAAAAAAGACCTCTTAGAAGGTTGAAACGTTGCTATTCTTGTTTCATTAAAACTGCCTGCGGCTTTAACACTGAGTGCCTGGTGAATTTCTTTGTTGCCTTGTTGTGGGATTGCTGGTCCTGCTCCAGAGCACCGGGTGGCTGCTGTGATTGAGTGCGCCTCCTACCATCATTTTTGCAATTATGTTTTAAGGAGAACTAGATCAAAAATGAAGAAATAAGAACAGATTCTGAAAGGGGAAGAGAGGAGGAAACAATAGGATGAGGGTGCCTGTCCCTCATTTAATAGGCTCCCCCAACATATAGATATGAAAGAGTTAAGCACCTCTCCCCTCCCCACTTTTAAACTTAGCTTTTTCCAGCTGTGAGGCTCCCTCTGTACTGGCTAGGTCTACCTCCTCCCGCAACGTCACGGTAATGGGGGGGAACTAATGTAAATGCGCCAAGCGATCATTAAAGCTTCAACATACAAAGATCACTGAAACAATGCTTTCCCCATGGGGTACTTGGAAGACGTGAGACGTCCTCAAGCAAAGCGTGAGCATTTCCAACGTCAAATCATGGAGTAAAACTCTGTTAGAGAGTCTCTAGTGTCTGGTAGAAAGGCACTAGAGGTGGACTTAAAGGACCACTATAGAGCCAGGAAAACAAACTTGTCAGTGAGACAGCCACTAGAGGCTGGATTAACCCTGAATGAAACATAGCAGTTTCTCTGAAACGGTTATGTTTTCAGCTGCAGGGTTAACACTAGAGGGACCTGGCACCCAGACCATTTCATTGAGCTGAAGTGGTCTGGGTGCCTATTGTAAATCCTGGATCTGTACCATCTCCCCTGTGCCCAGTGTTACAATGAAGCTTGGCCCTGTACCCTCTCCCTGTGTTACAGTATAGCCTGGCCCTGTACCCTCTCCCTGTGTTACAGTATAGCCTGGCCCTGTACCCTCTCCCCTGTGTTACAGTATAGCCTGGCCCTGTACCCTCTCCCCTGTGTTACAGTATAGCCTGGCCCTGTACCCTCTCCCCTGTGTTACAGTATAGCCTGGCCCTGTACCCTCTCCCCTGTGTTACAGTATAGCCTGGCCCTGCACCCTCTCCCCTGTGTTACAGTATAGCCTGGCCCTGTACCCTCTCCCCTGTGTTACAGTATAGCCTGGCCCTGTACCCTCTCCCCTGTGTTACAGTATAGCCTGGCC